ATGCAGGTTATGTTGGTTTCACACGCCGTCATCTACACCAATGTATTAAAGAACATAAAAACTCCTCTCTGTCAATTGGCAAACATTTTCGCGACAAACATTCTTTGACTCCAAAGGATCGTACAAAGAACTTTAGCACCTTAATGAAGTGCACGAACAAATTCGACTGCCTCGTCTATGAGATGTTTTTTATTCATAAGCTAAGACATGCTCTCAATGTACAATCTGATTCAATTCGTGCTAAGGTTTTTAATTAGCTTTTTACTAGCACTTTCTTTGTAGTTTTATCGTGTCTTTACAACTGCAAATTTTTTTTTTATGTTTCTTACGTGTATATTTACATATATTTACTGTATTTCATTCCATTCACTTGACAATGACCGAAGCACGGTCGAAACGTCGTGTTTTACCGTTGATTTTTATCGTCAAAAGTTTTAAGAAACCCTTGCTTATAAGTCCTTTATATGCCCTAAAAATGAAAACTTTGTTCCCAGGTTCTTCCCTTACTGAATTACTTGCAGGTGTAGGTCGGTGTTTCGATAGATAAGTAAAAGACCTGAAAACAGATTTTGTGAAAAGTTCCTGGTGAGATATAGAAGTTAATAGGCTCTAAAGGGTTCGTGTAAAATTATTTTGCACCAAAATGTGGGAAGCCTTGTTGAGAGTTTGCGAAATCAGGGCGTTACGTACCACTGCAATTGATTCCATCTCCAGTGTAGCCATTAACACAAGTACATGTGTACGATCCAACGGTGTTTTGACACGTGGCATTGCTATGACAGCTGTGACCTGAAGAACACTCATCGATATCTGTGACAGGGAAAAAAGGAAACCTATTATGAGTTCCAGCATGTGCTGATTTGTTAAGTTACCACATTACTTTGTTAACCGATTCGTCTGCAGTGAGGTGAAATAATGAATGGGAGATCTAGCAGATGATGGCAATCCATACATTCAATCAAGTCATTAGTCGCTGAATGTAATATTCATTTAATCTGTAACTTAGTATGCTAGAGATCAATTATTCAATCAAGCGGTCATTCACACATTCAGTCAGTCAATCAATCAACAGAATATTGGGAAAGGATTATCAAAAAAAAAATTGATAAAGGAGAGTGGGGATTGCGTGAAATGTCTCAAATTTCCCTCAGTGGAAGATTTAGTTTTTGAAGGTCCTATTAATACGCTTTTCTATTCTCATAGATTGATTTGAAATAATTTCATATCTACCTATTGAATGTGTATAAAATACACTAGCTTTCGTAAGACCTTGTGCTGAGCTGAGCCTTAGAATAAGAATTCGCTGAAGTTATGAGTTCTTTAATCCATACCTGTACAATTTCGACCATCCCCTCTATACCCACTGGCACAATCGCAGTTAAATTACCCCTGTGTATTTGTGCAAATTCCGTTCTTGCCACAGTCATGATTATTTCCTATACATTAATCAATGTCTTAAAATAAAGAAAAAAATTGAATGAGGAAACAACAACAGAAAAGACAGACACAACTATCAAAAAGAAATTAACCAGCAAACAAGCTATCAATCGCAACTGACTAGAACCGACAAACCAATGGTGGGAAGGATGGACGCAGAGAAGAACGAAGAAAAGAAAGGACGGAGTAAGGTTATTGATTCCGCATTCGACCATTTCAAATTAATCTTCAAGGCTGAAATTTTTTTTTTCCATACGCAATAAAAGGAAGCGGGCTTGCAAAAGAACAAAAATGCAGTTACCTCCTGAACATGTGTAATTATGACAACTCTTGCAATCTACGTCATTTCATGTAAATTTATGTCTACGGTGTGAACGCAGTCCTCGTTCAGTCGGAAATCGTTTGGTTGATGTGGAGCCCAGTAAGTGAAGTTATTTAGCATGTTGCTAGCCCAAACAAATGTGCCCTCGGTGTCATATGCTCTGTCATTAAGTCTAATCCATCCTTTTTCTCCATTCAGACGGTGCTGTATGTAGACATTTTCTTCGTGACTTTTTAACGTGATGAGGCTGGTGTTGTATGGTTAAGTTGGCAGGCTTTTTGCGCCTCAGTCCAGTTTTTACATGATTGACTTGTGGAATAGCAAAAGCCAGAAAAGTAAGACTGGCCTGGTTTACAAACGTCTAACCAAACAAACATCGGAAACAAAATATAATTAATTCACCAGTCTGCCAAAATATTCAAAAGGATAAGTTGTTCAATGAAAACTTTGTAGTTGTGCTTACCTGCCAGGACAACGTAAGACGCGGTAACAGGTTCATGCTGATCAGCGAACAACTCGTTGAGACAAATACGAAATTCTGGCGGCTTGATATGCTAAAAAAAAAAAAGAAAAAAAAAAAGTCTATTGGAAGGAAATCCCCATCCAGATCAGGATTTAAATGTGGCAAGCATACATTTGAACATTTTGTGCAGTCAACAGTTATAACTGTGACGCCAAAGCAAAATGCATTAACACTCAAGGATCATTTACTTGTCAGTGTAACAATACAGCCCACTACTATGGCAACGGGACAACGACTCTTCTTCCGGCTGGAAAATGACTTTACAATTTTTCTCCTCTTTTCGACGCGGTGTTAAGACAGGCAGACAACTGTCTTCACTTTAAATGGAAAGGGTTGCTTAAGGCCATTGTAACCGAACTGGATTAAAAAGAGACAATAATCATATTTACATCCTATAAATGATCTTTTAATTTATAACAACTCCAGGTTTTTTCCGTAAATCTACCATTTTACTTGTATACTATTTTCCTCTTTTTCCCCCTTTTTTTCCTGCGGTCGCGATTGAATGCATATCGGTAGTTTATAAGAAACAAGACAGAAGCACCTGAATAGATATATCTGCACAGTGGAGTATCTGGCTGACAGTCAAGGCTAACCAATTCACTGAGCCAAAGCTTGTTTTGGTTGTAACGCACCCCAGTGAATTATCACGATAGAGATGAAAAAAAGCATCAGTTGTCGGAAGAAGTTGTCAGGCATCAGTCAAGTGGTTCTTGTAGACGTCGAATACGATGAAGAGCATGGATTGTAGGCCACTTTCTCTCGATTTATATTTCTTTTCTATTGAAGTTGGCAACGAGAGTCTTTTCCCTTAACAGTATGTTTGACTGAAAGAAAAAACAGGTTCCTAAATGAATTTATTGCCATCTTTTCTCGGCATTGATTTACATTCTATGCTTGCCGGTTCCCCTTTTTCCTTCCGTCAGCAAATGAACAAACATTATTTTTCGGATAAGGACGATGAACCGATGGCCCCGTCTCCTACATCTTCTCCGTGCTTTTAGTAGGGGACATTGAAGAACCCACCCACTTCTTGCAAAGAACGGAACGTAGCTCCCCGTCTGGCCTTGTTATTGCTTACACGTACAAGTCTTCATTTAAAGAAGCTTTTGCGATATTTAGACTGGGCCAGCCTGTCTAAATATCGCAAATACATAGATACTTACATGCATACATACAAAACAGAAAGGGTCACCTCAGATTATCAATTTTGAGAGCGTGCACATGGCAGAACAGTTTCCTGTACTCCAACCCATGATAATCGCTTCAATTAACAAGGAAAGTAATCGCCACTTCGGAAGTAATACATGGAAATATAATGATGCTTTAAAACTTAAAATGTTCTCACCTAAAATCAGATTTTCTCAACTCGTAATACTTTCTTTTTGGTGACGCAAGGGACCTTGCTATTTGCATATTCTTTATATGCAATCAAGCAGACACTTCTTGTTTGAAATTTCAGAGTTCATAATGAATTCAATCCCCCCATTTTTTCAGTATTAGGTCCACTGGAATCATTGAAATAAAATGAAGACTGATTTTAAAATCGTTTCCCTGCGATTTTAAGTTTGAAATTGTCTTAAACACTTTTTACTGCTGACAGTTTTGGAAGTTAAAACTAGACCAGAAATTTCAAAAATCGTTCCGCTTGTCGTTTACTTCAGTAAGTAAAATGCAGACTGATTTTAAAATCATTCCCCCGCAGTGAAACCTATCGTGAGGCGTCCATAACTATTGTATGTTTAAAATTGTCTAAAGCAGTTTTCCTGCTGACAGTTCTGGAAGTTAAAAGTAGACTGGAAATTTCAAAAATTCGCTCTGGTTGCCGTTTATTTCAGTAATGAGAAAATCCATTTTGATTGAATTCAAATATCGTTCGTATTATAACCAAAAACATCTGTATGCCTTCTATCACAAAAAATTTTGTTTTTCTATTCAATTTTGTTTTGTTTTCAGTCGTTACTTAAGTCCTATCTGGAAGTCGTAGAATTTACGAAACGATGAATTGTGGTGATCACAATCCGCAGCCCAAAAAAGTCGCCGCATCATTGGGAATACTTTCGGTCTTGTTAAATCTGCTGTTACAGACGATAAACCTTCAAAACCTCCTGCAGACTTGCAATTAAGGAAAGCATTGACGACTACTTTGCTTCTGTCAAAACCCAAAATGTGGAATATACTTATTAGTCTTATTAGCTAATGTTTATGTGCACGAAGACCACCTTTTGCGTGAACAATTGTTGTGCTTATTATCCTTCAAATTTTATTTAAAAACATAGGACTTAGGACATAGCACTTGTAATTAGGTAGCTAGAAATACTCCCGACTGCGCCTCGAGCATCTCCCACGCAACCTTCATACTCTCCCAACTATCTGTGCGCATTTCGAATTGGATGAACGCACGCTATAGACATTGTCTATTCCTTAATTTAAAGCGCGGGAAAAATGTTCACGAACAGCCTACCGTTTATGGCGTGGGATGTTCACTTTTCAATGTTATCTCCTACGATTTTATGAAAAAAAAAGTGTTTCCTTCTTCTACGCAGCGTTATTAACTTTGAATTAAATTTAAATTGCTGAGTTTTCCGTTTTAGACGTACGTAAGGTTTGAAAATTGGGGAATATCCCATGGGGTACATCCACGGATATCTCCCAGTTTTACTTGAGAATATTCGGTTACGTGATGACCAATCCTGCGCGAACAAAAATATTTGTTGGATCATAAAACTTTATTATAAAAAACAGTAAATGTTTCCCTACTAAAAATTTTTAAGGGTTTTTGGATCCGCGTGATCTTTATTGTATTTCATTTTGTTACGAGAATTTCCAGATGTTTTTCTACTACAGGCACACTCCTCTTTATTGGTGTCCAAATCAACACACAAATTTCAGTCTAATACGGCAGTATATATGACTGAAAGGTCTGATATCATTACAATACCACATTGTATAGGCGCATATGAGAGATGATTTCAATCAATTGTTTTACATATGTTTTTTTTTTTAAGAGAATGATGAACATGCTCTTCTTTCGATTGTGCTTTACAGACTGAGAGTACTTCTTATTAATAAACACCTGTGAGTAACTACGAATGTCCCACGCTAACATCTTTACAAGATTTGTTTCAGTTCAGTGTTTGTTTAAATTGTTACTTCACAGTAAACCTCTACCTCATCTGCACGAAAATTTCTATTTCCTGTCCACACGTAATCACTAGAGTATGAACCGTGGTAAGAGCGATCGTTAAAGTAAGAATAATAGTTACTATTTGCGTTGTTAGCAACGTAAATATCATGTCCGCTCCCAAACGTCGGACCATAATTATAATAGCTGTATGTTGCATAGCTACGGCGCCAGTAATAGATATCCTTTTTAAAGTATCCATATCCGTAGTAGTTTTTGAGGGAAAATATAAAGGCGTTTGATGAATACGTGTATCCAGAGTTCCCTGAAAGAAAGTAAACATGAAATGGAATAGGTTAGAAATAAACACAAACCTGTAAATAAACTAAAAACATAGTGAAAATAGCTAGAACCGGTAAACGGTGAACTGCCATGAATAGTTTTCACAAGAGTTAATTTTCCACGTTTTGATACCGATATCAAATCTTGTGTACCCTTGTGTATTTCCAGTTTTTAGGTGTCCGTATTTTGGACTATCAGAAGACTTTTGAAAGTGAGATAAAGGAAATAAAAGATCGTACATGTCCATGAACTACTGGTGTAACCGCCAAATATGTAACCATGAGCTTCGATGATGGTTACTGTTTTTCCCAGGTTATCACAACGGCTGTGAAATGTACGTGAACTCCAACCATGGCTAGATGCTCTATAGCACAGTTTCCAGTAACTTCTAGACTGACTCTGTAAGCGAGATTGAAGCCAGGAATCTAACTGGAACATTTTCTTCGAGTCTCTTCCTACGATAGACGAGTTTCCAAGACCTCCTGTGAAGTAAAGGTGATAAAACCGTACTGTTAAAGCCATTATGCTCTAAAAACCGCATATTATAAAAAAGAAACTACCAAATGTGAAAAATGAAAGGGCTTACGGAAAAGATTGCAGGTTGTCCCGTTGCCATAATAGTGGGCTGTAATGTTACACTGGCAAGTAAATGATCCCTGTGTGTTTGTGCATTTCGCGTTGACGTCACAGTTATGATTGTTGAGTACACATTCATCGACATCTATAAAAGGAAGAGAGCACACGATGACGTTCGCATGGGTCCATTAACACCAATGAAAACCAATGATTTTCAATGTAAGTCATGCAATTGTCAGTCGGTGATTGTTTTCCAAATGATTTTAAATGAGAGCCTTCATTGACTTCTAAAATGGAAACTTTGTCTCCAGAATCTCGTCCTAAGGACCTGCAAATATTGGTTGGAGGAGGGGATCGATGTTTGCATAGGTAGCTGAAAGACCTTTAAAGGGATTTTCCAAAAACTTCTAAGTGAAATATAAAAGTTGACAGTGCTAAAAGGGCATTTGTAAAATCATTATTCACCGAGTTTGGGCAGTATTGTTTAGAGTTAAAGTGCCAGTGTACAATGTACCTCTGCAGGTTATTCCATCTCCAGTGTAACCATTATCACAAGTACATGTATACGACCCATATGTGTTTTGACATGAAGCATTGCTAGGACATCCATAACCTGAAGAACATTCATCTATGTCTGTAAAAGGTAAGAAAGGAAAACCATTCAGATTGCCTACACATGCAGATTTGTTGCGTCACGACATTTTGTCGTCAAGCGATTCTACTGTAGGTGATGGCTATCCATACATTCAATCAAGACATCCATTCGCTCCAATCTGATGGCTCATTCAGTCAGTCTGTCTGTCACTTAGTCTGTTAATGATTAATCAATCAGTCGATCAATCAGTCAAGCAATCAACCTGGCAAGAATTCGATCTGTCAAGCGATCGGTCAATCAAAAATTGAAAAAGGACTATTGAAGAAACGCTTGAAGAGGTGTGGTTTTTTTGTTTTTTGTTTGTTTGTTTGTTTGTTTGTTTTTGTTTCGGTTTTTTTGTTTTTGGTTTTTTTTTTTTTCGCGATAAACTGTGTACCTGTGTCCTATTTTTACTTAATATCTACTAAGGAAAAAAATGTTTTGGCGACTTGATGTCATTGAATTATAGGTCCATTCAGTCTTGTAAGAAATATACAAATTTTTTAGAGACATGTTTCGGCGTGCTTATGCCATCTTCAATCAATGAGTAACTGAACGTGAGTAATTATATAACAGACAAGTAGATGAATAAAATACTTACAGTATGATGTGATACAAAAGCAGGTACTAATTACGGCGTGACAACAAACATAAAATTAAAGGTGTGAACTAAAATGCTAGAAAAGTGTTATAATGCTGTAACTGTTTGTTAAGTTCAGGTTTGATCTTATTTATATAAAAAGCTTCTTTGAGTTTTAAATCAATTGAGCTGTTGGAAGAATCCAGAATACTAAAGCAAGAAAGGGAGTATGTGTTCTTACAAGAAGGAGAAGTGTTAAAATGCTTAAAAATATGCGAGTTTTTATCGCTTTCCGTGTGCTCCTTTATCCTAGTGGAGAAGTGGCGACTAGTTTCGCCAATATAAGGGGAATTCCATCCCGCTCAAGAAAATTGATAAACTACCATGGATTTTAGAGCATCGGGAGTACGATCTTTAACACTGAAAATGTTTTTAATTTTGAAAGAAGTGAAAACAAGCTTGATATTCAGGTCCGATTTACAAAAGCGCTTAGTGAGTTGTCGGAGTTTAAGGTTCGCTATTTTGGAATAATAGCTGACAAAGGGGAGTTTAAAGTAACGTGTATTATTGTCATCTATGTTCCGGCTGTTTTGAGAGGAGGACCCGTCAAGATACCGCTTGAAAGTTCTTTCAATAATGTGCGAAGGAAAAGAATTACGTTTTAAAGTATCGGACAGTTTCTTAAGATCGTTTTGAAGACCGGAATAGGTGTTGCTGATTTTGTAGATACGGTCAATAAGAGTTTGGATCAGGCCAATTTTGTAGCGTGATGGAATAAAACTGAAGAAATTTTTTAGGAGACCAGTGTAGGTTTTTTTTATGAAAACTGAAAAAACACAATCATTCGAAGAGTTGTCGATAAATATATCAAGAAAGGAGAGTTTACCATCATGCTCTTTTTCGAAAGTGAATTTTATGTTGGGGTCCCGTGAATTAATGTAATCAAAAAATGACATCGTATCTTGTTCATTGTGGAAGCCACAAAAGGTGTCGTCAACATAACGCCTATAAAGTAGAGGGCGAGTCGAATAGTTAAAATTATTTAACCATGTTACCTCGTGGAAACCAAGAAAAAAGATTAGCAAGGATGGGTGCTAACGGAGAACCTATCGCTACCCCATCAACTTGATCATAAGATTTTTCATTAAAAAGAAAATGAGTCTCAGCTGTAGTGAAAACACAAAAGGTGTCGTCAACATAACGCCTATAAAGTAGAAGGCGAGTCGAATGGTTAAAATTATTTGGCCATGTTTCCTCGTGGAAACCAAGAAAAAAGATTAGCTAAGATGGGTGCTAACGGAGAACCTATCGCTACCCCATCGACTTGATCATAAAATTTTCCATTAAAAAGAAAATGAGTCTCAGCTGTAGTGAATGAAAACAGTTTTTTAAGGTCGGATTTTTTGATCGATAATTTTGGGTCATGCTTGAAAATAAGATCAACAGCAATATCGATAGTTTCATTTAACGGAATATTGTTAAAAAGACTTTCAACATCAAAGGAAATGAGAAACTTGTTGTTAAGATCGAAACTCCTGAGCTCTTCTACAAAAGAGAATGAATCTGTGACCGATTACGTGTTAGGTAAAAGTGGGGTGAGAAGAGAACTTAAATACTTGGCTAAATTATAATTATAAGTTCCAACAGAAGATACAATAGGTCTAAGAGGTGGTTGATTGTGATTTTCACGGTTCTAATGTAATTATAAAATTTTGTTGGTTGTGAACCCTTAGGAAAAATCTTGGTATAGGTATCATTATCAATAGAATGCTTTTTCTTAGGCAAACTAATGAAACGTTTGAGTCTGCCTTCCCTTAATAAAGTGGGATCTTTGTCTAGTAGTTTGAATTTAGATTTATCATTAAGTATATCAAAACAAGAGTCTAAATAAATATTACGGTCTAATATAACTACTCCACTACCTTTATCGGGCTTGAGAATTATAATATTGGAATTGTTCTTAAGAGTTCGTAGGATGCGGTGTTTCTTTAGATCGTTGCTTGAAGGACGGTAGGACAAGATATAGTTTTGAGCCAGATGAGCGATTTATAAATAAGATAAAACCTGAACTTAACAAACAATTACAGCATTATAACACTTTTCTAGCATTTTAGTTCATACCTTTAATTTCATGTGTTACGAGGATCGAATTATTTTTACTAAATCTGTCACGCAATCCCAGACTTTTCTAGAATTATCTATAATCTGTAATATTCCACAAACTTCTTTCATGTGACTCAGCAGTTTCCAAAAATAGTACAACTTGTAATACGCTATAAATAGTAATAGAACATTCTAGATAACTAAAGTAAATGTATAAAAGCTGGCTTGTGAGAAGTACAAAAGAGATTTGCCCGAGGGCTTACCCTCGTGGCTTGCTGACTGAACTTTTGGAAGCTATGATATGACGAGGCTATGACCTTTTGACCTTGCGATATCCGAAGAGAAGAAAGAGATGAAAAAGACGATAATCGAGAAAGGAAGAAGATAGAGAATATAGAGTTTACTATCGAGTCTTCCGGAAGAGTTTGTGTACAAGGAAAGAATGCGATAAATCAAGAAAGCCAAGCGCTGTGGTCTTCAGTCGGCGGATGTTGGAATTGGAAGTTGATCAAGACGACGAATACTTACACGGCATGAAGGATTGTAAGCCTGCTTTATGAACTGCTTAACTTAATCTTTAACCTAAGTAAATTAGACAATGTAAAACTAATTAAATAATAGTTAAAATGGGTAACTGCTTGTTGTTACATTTTTGTTGCGTGCCATATATCGTACTCGGGAATCTATTTTCATATATGCTTTGTTAGCGGACATTTGTTGGTCATTCGTGCACGTAACACATGTTTGTTGTCACGTTGTAATTAGTACCCGCTTTTGTATTACATCATACTGTAAATATTTTGTTTATCTACTTGTCTGTTATATAATTACTCACGTTCAGTTACTCATTGATTGAAGGTGGCATAAGTACGCCGATACATGTCTCCAAAAAGAGTTCTATATTTCTTACAATATTTATCCTACTTGCTTCTACTACGACCTTATGGAAATTCCATTCAATCTGCTTTTCTTTTTCCATACATTATATTTTAATAATTTCATATTCATATATTGGATTGTGGATCTAAAATACATCGACTTCGGTGATGACCTTCTGCTAAGCTGAGTTTTAGAAGAGAATTCGCTAAGGGTAAATTTTTCAATCCATACCTGTACAACCCCAACCATCACCTCTAAACCCAATGGCACAATGGCAGTTGAATGATCCCTGTGTATTTGTACAAATCCCATTCTTGCTGCAGTCATGATTATTTTCTGTACATTCATCAAGGTCTTACAGAAGAGAAAAATCTTGAATGAGGAAACAACAATAACAGTGACAAATACAGAAACAACGGTTACAAAGAAATAATCAGACAAAAAAGCTATTATTCACAACTGGCTAGAACTGACAGGCCATTGGAGAGAAGGATGAAGAGAGGAAGGAATGAAGGAAAGTAGGCACGGAGCTAGGTTGTTGATTGTAACATTCCAAAATTTAATTTAAACCAGAAAAAAATTTGTCTTCAAGGCTATGAATTGATCTTTTATTTGCATTAAACATTAAAAGGATGCGTTCTTGCAAAAGAACAAAAATGCAATTACCTTCTGAACATGTGTAATTATGACAACTCTTGCAATCTACGTCATTCCATTCAAATTTATGTCCAACTCCCAAGGTGTGAACGCAGTCCTCGTTCAGTCGGAAATCGTTGGGTTGACGTGGAGCCCAGTAGGTAAAGTTGCTTAGCTGGTTGCCAGCCCAAACAAAAGTGCCTTCGGTGTCTCTGTCATTAAGTCCAATCCATCCTTTGTCTCCATTCAGACGGTGCTGTATGTAGACATTTTCTTCTTGACTTTTTACCGTGATGAGGCTTGTGTTGTATAGTTGGCAGGCTTTTTGCGCCTCAGTCCAGTTTTTGCATGATTGACTTGTTGAGTAGCAAAAGCCAGAAAAGTAAAACCAGCCTGGTTTACAAACGTCTAACCAAACAAACGTCGGAGACAAAGTATAATTAATTCACCAGTCTGCTAAAATGTCTAATAGAATATCCAATATAACGATAACTTTGTTTCATTCGCAATTGTGCTTACCCGCCAGGACGACGTAAGACACGGTAACAGGGTCATGCTGATCAGCAAACAATTCCTTGAGACAAATACGAAATTCTGATGTCTGGATATGCTGCAAAAAAAAAATGAAAAATAAATATCAATCAGAAGGAAATCCCTATCCAGGTGAGGATTTCCATATGGCAAGTAAACAGCTGAAATATCACAGTTACGGTTGAGCTGACTTAATGAGTCGAGAAACTCCATATACATCATACGCCTTAGCAAAAAGTTAACTAAAAACGGAAAAAAAAATCAAAGAAGCACCTCTATCCATGCAGTAACAGATATGTACTTTGGCTTTAGGTTGTTTCCCTCTGAATTGTGATTCGCGGTGATTACTACCTTAGGCTCCTTATCATAAGTCTTGGCGAACTGCACGTCCTATAGGGAAAAAGCAGCCAGGGGTGTTAAAGAAGCAGCCAACTAATCAGAAAAGAAAACAAATCAATAGAGACAACTATTAACAAAAAATCTAATATATAGATTTACCCAAGTTTAAAAGCGGAGCTCCCAATAAGTGGAAATTTTGCAATAAAATTTCTTTACAGATATTCAAAATACGTAAAAATACGTGTACAAAGCCCACGCGGTAAAATTCATATTGCTTAGATCGCTGTTTACGTTCCTTCAAAGCCAGAAATTGTGCAGCGTTATGTTGAAAATTCTGAAAAAAACTTGTCATATTGAATACCAAACCTCGTGGTTTATTGCATCCCATGAAGCTTAGAGTACTTTCGTGATAGTATAAATGACAGAGGGAACATGCGTACGCTCAGTCAGTCGCGTCGCAACCAAACAAAAAGAGGTTGACCTTATTCCATGAGTATGGGGCTCTGCTCCTACGCGCGCTTCGCAAGCGTAAGAGCCCCGCTACCAGACATAAGTGTTTTACTGAAATCTTTATTCAATCACGTTGCATAAATGAAACGGGTGAGGCTTTTTATACTCATTTTAAAGTAGGGAGCGAACACAATGATAACATACGAGAAAATTGATCGAGTTATCCGAGTTTTTAAGACTAGATCAAAGCAGAAGACATCTGTGCGCAGCAATCTTCCACGGCCACACATTCACAAGTTTTGATATCTCCCCATTCAACATGGATCCTTATGTGCAGCCTACCTTGCAGAATGCACCATTGTAGTTTGCAGAAACAGAGCTGTTGTTAGGAAAGTCAATTTTTCTACTTTCAGCGAAAAGTGGGCGGTGAATTTCTTCAAAAGCCATCCAGTTCTAGAAAGGAAAATTAGAAAGAACGTATAGATAAAAAGTTTATTTTACTATAAACAAAGAAATTTTCGATTGGCAATTTCGGTCATAATGTACAACGTAAATATTACTGAGACTGATTTCGTTTCCCTCTTTCCCAATATTTTGTTCGAAGAAACCCGACTGAAATCGTTCTTACGTAGTGCTGAAATTAGAAAGTTAATGTCCGCTTTGCGAATATCGAATGCCTGTCTCAATTTTGGAGAAAGATATTTTACGGACCAATAGTTTACCAACCACTCTTCCTATACGAACAGCTATGTTCGAAAAAGGCTTGATGAAACAGACAACAATTAAACTGAACAAAACAAACAGAAAAAGGAGGAAAAGGCAAGTACTCGATAAAACTGAGACACTTAATTCTGAATACACACACTACTCTAGTTTTCACAGATATTGAGTTGGTACATACCACGAGGATGTCCTCATGAAGGCCATCGTAATTTTGTAACTCTCGAAGGCAAATGTGGAAGGTAGAACTGGTAGCATTTTCTATCCAAAGACTAGCGGCATCGTGCTTGTAAGCTGAAGTTACGTGATCCGCTGTCGCCAAAATAATGGGTGTTGCAGCAAATTTATCCTTTTTAAAGAGTTCAGAGTTGTTAGTTGCTGATAAGGGAGAATAAAATAATCTAAAACTGTATCTTATGCTAATAAAGATTTGGTTTGGGAAGTGCAACTGGCTTTATCATCGTTTGTTGTAAACAGAAACTATCATCTGCAAACCTTTCATCCATAAATGGGGAACATAGAGGACGGTGTCCTGATCAATACATAACTTAAGTGAACATAAGGGAACACTCACCTTTGGCAGACTAATTCCTATGCATTTCGTTCCGGTCCACCATTCTGGAATACGAGTATTTCCTGTCACACCACCATTTGGAGCTCCCTGGTAAGCCATCCAGTCGACAGTCGCAAATTCTTTTGTGCCACGGTCATTTCTTCCCGCAGCTGTCGCACAAACCTTTAAGACATTAATAAAATTCAGTGAATATGAGGTCCTCTAGAAGAGCGTTCTTTTTCTCGATGATATTAACTTCGCTTTCAAACTGAGGGTCATCTAACTTTAAAGTGCACCTACAACCAAAAATTTTTTTTCGCTTAACGAAGTAAGCTTATTTTTTTGAGTATTTCTGCGCAAAAATTTTTTTATTTGCTCAAATCTTCAATTTTCTATGCCCAGTCAAAATACGGAAAATCGGCCGCCATCTTGCCCCACGACTGAGTTTAAAGAGGAATGGCTCTAGTGGGTAATGTGACGTCAAATCGAGAACACGAAAGTCTGCTTTTCACACATTTTCTCTTGTTTGGGAAGGTTGTAGTCGATAATTGTCCGAAAATATGCCGACTAAGTGTGTTGTAGAAGGATGTAGCAACGTGCGAAATTTGCAAGAGGGTATCGTGCTTCATACAATCTTCATACAACACACCTAGTCGGCATATTTCGGACAATATCGACGACAATCTTCCCAAACAAGTGAAAATGTGTGAGATGCAGACTTTCGTGTTCTCGATTTGACGTCACATTACCC